GAGAGGGAGAGGGAGAGAGGGAGGAACTTCCGGACCTGGAGTCTCGGTTATCAGCTGAATATGGCTGGCATCATTATACAGATTACATACTCCCATACTCCCCCCTACCTCCGTCATATGTATATATATATATATTTTTGCGTACTCCCATACTCCGTAATACGATAATCTACAGCCGTCGTCCATCATTACACTCTGACGCTGAACTGCATACATGTACAAATATTCTCTAGACGTCCTGCATCGTCTCCCATCACACGCTTCAGAGAGACATGTCGAGGTATCAGCACGGAGAAATAAAGAACGAGAGCGCTTCAAGGTATCACGCTTCAAGGTATCATTCATTAAAGTGACGCGCTGCCTTCTCAGCTCTTCGTCCCAGAAAAAATCCCAGTAGTCCATCCATGGCAGGGCGGTACATCTTCTATATCTCTTTTTTTCTTTCTTTCTGACATAGGTCTCTCCTTCTTGTCTATTCCTCTTCTCTGACCGTGTTGAAGATTATGACAGAGAGAGGACTAAATTCCTCTGAGGAATTGTAAAAAAAGAAATAATCCAAAAAAAAAGTATATATATACATATAAAGAAGATATGCAAGAAAAAGAAAGTAACAAACAGAATGGGTAATAGAACTCAGGAAAAAAGACACATTCGCATCGCACATTTAACCCCCAAGGCTGTCCCTCCCGTATGGACAGAGGATCGAGAAGAACATCCAGAGCCTAAATCACAGGCTGTATCACCGGGTTCTCATCGAGTCAGTGGGAGGCAAAAAAGGAGGAAAGAAGAAGCTGAAGGAGTGGCGGAAAGAAGTGATATACACGCCAAAGTGAGGGGCCATCCTGACCTCTTTCCGGTAGAGATGAGAGTAAAAGCAAGTTTCGAAGGAGCCAGGAGGGCCATGGTGGTTCAGCGCCTCGACTCACGCGATGGTGCCATCCCTGGAGCGGGAAATCTGGGCTGGAAACTAGAAAGGCAGAAAAAAGCGACAACAATAAGACAAATGCGCACAACGGGGGTAAAGAATTGAGGCAGAAGAGAGGATGACGAAGGAATTAAACAGAGGGAAAAGGAGGGTATGAGGGAGGGTGCAATGTTTGTCAGTGCCGTGGGTATGTGCCTGGGTTTACGTATAAGAGGGAGCGAGAGGGGGGAGGGGGGGGGGTGGGGGGGGGGAGAGGGCGAGGTAGGAAAGACGATGCTCGGCGGAGATCCTCGAATCCCCGCCTCCCCCTCCCCCTCTCACTCCCTCCCTTCCCACCCCTTGATCCCCTCTGGCGTTGCTATAAGATGTATATCGCATGTCGTCGAGAGAAGAGTGATAGGAGAAGAGCGGGGGTTGGGGGGGGTTGGGGGGGACGAGGAACCGAGGGACCACGGGCTGTCGTGGGGATTTCCCTTACAGAATCAACTGTTTCAGATTGCGCTGAATAATCATGTCCTGCACAGATCCCATGGTAATCTTCAAGAGGTTGGTGTCGGTGGCGTTGGTAAAGTGGCCGTAAATCTCCTTTTCGACATTTCGGTTGAGCGCCCGGAACTTGTCGAGGAAGTATTTGCTCGTCGACTTGTAGTCGTCCTTGGGGCCGTGGTAGTCGGTGAAACCGTAGTCGGCAATGGGACTCTTGGGCAGCTTCTCGCGGAAGAGGTCCATCTTGTTGAGGAAGAGGATCAGAGCCGACTGAGCGAACCAGTGAGAGTTGGCAATCGACTCCCAGAGCATCAGGGCCTCGTTCATTTGGTTCTGGGGTGCACGAGGTTAGCTTCGAGTCTCATCTGACCTGTTGTCGTCATCGTTCCCGAGCGTGCCAGTGCTGCCAACACCTCTCATCTGGCCATATCTGGGGTTGGGTTGGGTTGGGTTGGGTTGGGTTGGNGACGGCCAAACGTACCCCATCCTTGTCTTCCACCAAACATTGGTCGTATCCGCTAATAGCGACGAGGAACAGCAGACAGTTGACGTTCTCGAAGCAGTGGATCCACTTCTTCCGTTCTGACCTCTGGCCACCGACATCAAACATGCGGTATGTCAATTGGCCGAGGTCGAACCTCGACTCAGTGATACCCGTAGTCCGTAACCGTGAGCGGAGCAAATCCTGGTCGTTGGGGACGTAGTTTGGGTCCCAGAGACGGTCCAGATCTTGAACGAAGCTGCGAGCACTTGTTAAAGAAAGACGAAAAAGAAGACGGGCAAATGGTGGGGGGGTGGGGGGGACCTACTATCCCAGGTTGTCGTGCAGCGCGTACTCATTGCCCTTGGATATGGCCGTCTTGACACCTCCATCTTCCCAGAGAGCTTTGATAGGGTCGAGGTATTCCGACGGCATGCGCTCCTCTGAGCAGATTTCGCGATCGACGAGGAGGAGTGCCATGTTTTTCTGCACTACGTCAGCCATTGTTCACGATGGATGACCGAGACGAGTCAAGCCGAGTTCACATATTCATATGCGCCCTCCCTACGCGCGCGCGCGCGCGTATGTAGGATTGTCCGGCCTCGAAAAAAAGGGACAGAGAGGGGGGGGGGGGGGGTGTGTAGTGTGTAGCCCGGTCCATACCTCGTTTTCCGAGTTCTCAAAGTCGATTTCGAGCTCGACCATGGCGCCGTGTATCGTCTTGAAGGACTGGACAATGTTGCTAAAGATGACGGGCTTCCACTCGAGCTTCTCATTGTCGCTGAAGCCCTGGGCATAGATGAGCTTCATCTGCTTGAGGATGGTAGACTTTCCCGACTCGCCAGCGCCTAGAGGGTGGTGGGTTGATACTTGTCAGTATGCGTTTCCGGCGGTCATCCGGCACCGGTCAGGCCACCGAGCGCGACATACCTAGCAGGAGGAGCTTGACCTCCTTAGCCATCTTCTTCTCATCTTGGCGAAGCTGCTTGTCAATGTCTCGGGAGCGACCCAAGCCGCCGTCGCCCTTGGCCCGAGCACCGAAGCACATGGAGGGCATGTAGGAAGATGTGGTGGGACGGGATGTCGGTTACGGGAAGGGGTGTGGGGTGTCTGAAAGTTTCGCGCGCGCGGGAAGGGTTGGCGTGCGTATGCGATGTTCGGGCCGCACACAAGACGGGATCGTGTAGGGGCGTGTTGGTGGATTGAGACACGGGAGGTGAACGGTTGCTACCTGAATCGTGGGTAGCAGTGGCCAGCAGCAGCAGCAGCAGTACAGCTCTCGAGGAGGACCACGAGGTGGGCTTTGTTGAACAGACACTCCTTGCTTTGGGAGACGGTTGGAAATGGGTTCGGGAGGGCAGAGGGACGTGCGATTGGTGTTGCACAATGCCTGTGTGGTTGAGGATAAGCAGCGTTTATGTCGAGATGTCTATATGGGTATAGATGCAGGGGAACGAAACGGGAGAGGAGGAAAGGAAAGGGAAAAATGAACGGGAGGGAAAGAAAAAAGAAGAAAGAAAGGTATGAAGAAGAAAACGAAACAGTGCCCTTCTTTCCCTACCTTGTCTGGGAGGATGTGTCGGCCTCGGAGGGAAGAGAGCCTTGGTCAGATGTCACTTGTCCTTTGTCGTTCTAGTATTAATACCTTGGGGGGGGGGGGGGGGGATCCCTCGGGGGGTCCCTTGGAGGCCCGTGTGCGTGTGTGTGTGTGGCGCGCGAGGAAGGGCCAAGGCTTTCTGCGGCAGCGGACTGCGGGTACACCCGGTCTAACGGGCGGACAGGAAAAACTCCTACGAGAGAAGTACACGGGTACAGCGTCCTCGTACCTTGATGCGTTTCTCTCTCCTGTCTAATGCACTCGTACGGAGTACGGGTCGGAGTACGGGTAGGAAGTAATGGACGGGGCAGAAGAAAAAAAAGTTGGGAGGAATAGCGACTCCGCTACGAGTAACAGCAACGAGCTCGTACGAGTAAGCTCTGGAGAAGTGGAGGAAGGAAGGGAAGTGGAGATGAGTAATAATACTGGATACAGCGATATCCCTCCCATCTCCCATTCGCCATGGCTGTGATGGCGTATCATGAGTAATACTGCTGCTACTACATGCATGTACCGATCCATACTAGTGCTGCTAGCAGCATAGCAGCACAGCACAGCATATTTAGCGTCCGGTACGAGTTCAAAATAAGGGGGCCCGGGGAGGAGCCGAAGGGGGGAGGGGGGGAGGGGGGGGTCACTGTACGGAGCACTCGTGAGTAGATACACTAGGGCCACCACTACCGTAGACTGTCTGCACTAAGGGAGTGGCACTACGGTGAACTGAAAGGTCAGTCTACTAGTAGCCCGCAGATCCCGTGGCATGGACGGACGAACTGGTAGCAGCATGGAATCTACCTACAGTCCGCGACTCCGTATGAGCACGTATCATCCTACATGTACAGATCACACAGACTGCACATAGGACCCTGCACAGGTGTCAAAATTGATGGCTGTCACGTTCCCAGTGCCAGCAGCCAGAGCCGTCTCTGCTGCAGTGTCTTGCTGCAGTGTAAGACGTGAAATGGCCTCGAGCATGGAAACGTCGAGTCCGGGCCGTAATACGCCGCTCCTCCCCTGCAGATGGTGGACCTTGGCATGATTTGGGATGGTGCCTTTCCCCAACCCCAACGGTCCTCGTCCATTACCGGGATGGGGGATGGAGTCCTCGGGGGTCCGAGTGCAATTAGGCACAAAGCAGAGGATTATGAGCACGTACGTGCATGCAACGTATCGACACAGACATCTACGGCGCATCATCAATCTGTACATCTGTACATGCGTATACATTATCTAGGTAGAATGCCACGGCACAGCCTCGAGATTAGACGTAATGATGACATACGTATTACTCGTAGAAATGATTGTACATGTAATAACTCGAATGTGATACGGAGAATACATATATAACCACTTTCATGCCCCATCGACACGTTTCTTGCTGCAAGTGACAAGTCTCACTCTGTAATGACGTTGTGCGCACGTACGGGTGCGAATCCCCCCCTCCCCCCTTTTTTCCTGCACTTTGACCATCTTGCTGGGTCTGCTGTGCAGACAGACAGACATACGGTATGGTATCGCCATCACTCCGTACACCTGCCAGACAAGTAACGTACCAACGGTGTATTACCGACGGCCTAGCACCACTGTACGAGCACGCTGATGCTAGGCGATACCTGACCTCGTGCACTCTGCAATCTTCGTACCTGATATGCTGTACAGATACGGAATAATACAGACGACCCCTTCCCGTAGACTACGACTGCTGCTAGTGCCACTAGACTCTGGCAAGCCTCTCCACCCCCTCGGTTCAGGGAGAATATTCCTGAAACAGGGTCGTGTCAGACGAAACGCACCTGACATGCATGCGGCATAGTGCCACGAGTTGGCTGCTGATGCAATGGCGGACGAACGCAAAACACGTCACGCATGCATTTCCGCTACTACTACTGCTGCTACTGCTGCTACTGCTCGTAGTGGGCGAGGTCCCCTTGTACCTGCATCAATTCATGTACTGACCATAAGACGCTCTCCTCACACACACACACACATACACATATGTTTTTAATATATATATATATATATATATATATATATATATATCTATATACATATACATGCACTTCCATATCGTTACACATCGGTACAATCAATCGATATCCTCGGTTGCTGTATTGCTGCATCTCCCCCCCCTCCCCCTTTCCTCTCCGTCAGTAGGCTATATGCATACATGCAGTTCACTCCAGGACGATTCGTATACCCGGACTGATGTGACTCCGCCACTCCCGATACCCTACCACCCACCACCACCCCCTTGCTTCTCTTCGGTTGACAGCTCAGGAATCAGACAGGGATCGAGCATCATTGCCATGTGGTGCCCTTCTTCTTCTTCTTCTTCTTCTGCTTCTCCCTCGAGCAAGGCCCGTATCAGCCCCTGTTCCGACGACAAGGGCTCAAGTTAACGCTCTGAAAATATAGCCCAACGAGAGGGTAGTCATAGTACACGCAGTACGGGAAAGGAAGGGGGAAGGGGGGGGGGGGGGGGGAGGAGAGGAAGAAAAAAAAAGAGAGAGAAGAAAAGGCGCCATTTACCTGTTCCGTAGCGGTCATACTCCCCCCCCGTACGTGATGAGAAAAAGAAAAGAAGGAGAAGAAGGAGAAAAAGGAACGAACCCCTGCTGGCTCTAGTTGTAGACTCTATCCTCTAGGCCGTCCCTTGCACTCGTATTATTATCGCTCTCTCTGGAGAGAGGAGGCAAGGAAGAGATGAGAGAGGGTACCACATGTAGAAGGCCTGCTACCGGCGGCGTCCTCCTGACGCGGCGCTGATCAGCCTTGGGGCTTTCAATCCTCTCCTCCCCTCTTCAATCTCTTCCCTTCTCTTCTTTTCCCTACCCGTCGGTTGGAGCGCGGGAGCGGTCCGACAGATTTCCTACGAAGAAAAAGCCTCTGTTGGCGTCCTCGCTAACTCATCTTCTACTAGTCGGAGGGCAGGGTTCGAACCACGGAGCAGGGTTCAACCCGCAAGACCACACCTCCTACTCGGCCTCTCGACCAAAGTCGTAATGCAATATGAATTTAAACGGTACCCACACATACATTTCACCACGGGTTGCTCCTCCTCTTCTTCACATGATAACTTGGCAACGGCCCAGGACGCCAAGGAATGAAAAGAGACGTGGAAATCCCAATTTGGGAAGGGAGGGAAGGGGGGGCATCTTCGGGGACATCTTTTGACCCTCTCCCCCTTGTGCTGCCCTGCTCTGCCCTGCTCTGCCTTGCTTTAACCCCCCCCCCCCCCTCCCTAAAATCAATGACGAGCGTGAACGATACCGGTATTTTTATTACTCGTAGATGACACCTTGCCACCTATTGAAACTACGCACAGGATATATATTTTATGATGAATTTTTTTATTTTTATTTTTTATATACAACGTACATATATAATATTATGTACTCGTAGATGGACACGGACACGCATTATGCAGTCCTCTCTGCTCCGTATTGCTTGTTTTCCTCCCCCTCCAATCCACCCCCAACCCATCAGATCAGCATATCATCATATACTTGATCCCCTGATGCATAAGTCTACCTGACAGTGACAGGCCGGGGTCGTTCAACAAATCTCGCGGCATCGTGGGTCGGCACCTGCTGACGTTGCAGACAAGACTTCAACTTTCAATGGCAGTTGGTTCAGGGGAGGAGGGTCCGGTCCGGCTGATTGCCATGACGATATGCGACAAGAAAAGAAAATCTACTGGACTGGGCGGGAATCGAAAGGCCGAGAGAAGGCAAGCGAGAAGATGTGAAGATGACAGTAACAGCAAAATAACAAAAGATGCACAACTTTTTTTTTTTTTTCTGAACAGCTCTCCTTTTAGTCTCCCATCTCCCATACAGACATATATCAATATATTACACATGTACTTCCCGTAGCTCCTCTGCGTGACCGTCGGTCCTAACCGATTATTGTTTAACCAACCCAACCCAACCCAACGCAACGCAACCCAACCCAGCCCAACCCAACCCCCCGATAGATGCATTTCCCTTTCCTTCCAAATCTCTTCCTTTCTCGTCTGCCCGGTAATGCTCCACCCAAAACCCGGCTGTCCTCTCCGAAGAAGCTCTAGGCTCTATTGCGGTAGAGTATCGATACTTCTCGCTACCTCTACACCCATGTCCCCCCCCCCCCCCCCCCCCCTTCCCCTCGGAGGCTCATGTTTCAGTCAGGGCAGGGGAGGTTTCTTGTGACTCGAAGTGGGCGGTGGTTGACAACTGTCAACCATCCAACGGAGCACAAGACTTGTTTGAGCAGGCAATCGCGCAAAATTCGTTCAACTATCGGGATACTGACCACGCACGGTTACACTCGTACGGATAAGTACGATACTATTACTCGTACTCTGTAGTGCACGTACTCTGTAGTACACGTACTCTGTCGTACACGTACTCTGTAGTACACGTACTCCGCAGTACTCCCATGCACAGTTAGCCAGCATGACCTTATCGCTGTATCACCGCATTCCTTGCTTTGCCTTGTCGCGCGCTCTGTACAGGTGAAGCTCACAACTCAGTCCAGAGAGTTCCCCGATCCATCAGAGATGTAAACAGGAAAAAGAGAAGAAGAAGGAGAAGAAGAAGAGTCGTGATCTGATCTACATATCAAGTCATGCTCGGGTAATATCAAATCCTGTACTTGCATCCAATCCTTGCTCCTCTCGCTCTCGCTCTTCCTCCCCAATTGGCAACGAGTGAGTCCCTTCTTCCCATCTTGATGATGCATGTACTCGGTGCTAGAGTACGTGTACTTGCCATTATACGCTACCAATCCTCGCAGTGTACGTATCTGTACGGGAATTAGCAAATGGCGCGACAGACATCTTTCTCTTCTCTTCCTCCTGCCTAACTCCAATCTTGGCGACGGGACACGTTCAACCCGCCAAGTGAACGAGACCGGTTATACCCGGCCAAGCGGGGAGGGGGGAGGAGGGATGGCCGCTGCGTACGACTTCCAGCGTACGGATGACTTGCGATGCTACTACTCCGTACGTTCATGAGCGATAGCGTGTAATCCTCCCTCATACGGCAATCAAGATAATCACCAACTCCGCAGCAGCATTCACTGTCACCTGCTCGTACGAGAGTGATGACCAATACGACGTCCAAGACCTAGTCTGCTCCACAGGTCCACAGGATGTGCACATGGAAGAACGGCAACGTGGTTTTCGAAAGGGGTGTATATCGTCGTCAAAATGTCAACAGACTTGTCATCACAGCTACTGGTAATTGCGTCGAGAAGACCTCTTCCTGGCCTCTGCGTAGTAATATGACCCGTCATGATTTATGTGGGCTGTAGAATTGTACAGTAATGTATTACAGTATACGGATATGTATTATAATCTGAATTCTGTATTCTGTATTCTGTACCGGGTACGGAGTAGTGATACTCACTACATGAGAAGTCAAAATAACTATGAGTAATTGGTCGGAGGACCCGGAACCCAACAAGCAAGATAACCCTGCACACCTCCTGTCGGAAGTTAATTAAACTAGTTGACAGGAAGCCCGTACACATATCCGTCGTGTTATTAACGAAGCAGAGGCGTTATATTGCTCTCGGCAGGGGTAAGCCACGTTGTTCTCTTGTTGCTCGTGCGTGCTGCTCGTGCGTGCTGCACGTTTATACATGTAGAACTTTACGTGTACGGGCAAATCCATGTTACGGGTTTACCAAGTTCGCTATCGGCAGTTGCATTCGTATTTGACGGTCAGGTCACAGAGGTCCAGGTAGACAACACTGGAAAAGATGTATCAGTACTCTGGTGAAGGCATACAGATTACAGATGACGGAGTAGAGGTAGTCGAACTATATATATATCGGCAGTTCCGCACTGATCCAGCAAGGAGAGCTCTTGCTTTCTCGCATGCATCTGACATGGAACCTGAAGAAGGAAAAGACTTGTCCCAAGATGGGGGGAAGAATGACCAAATGGCTAGTACTTGCCTTGCCTTTCAAGCTCAAACTTGGTCGAACTTGTCAGAAGGAGAAGGA